TTGAAAAACTAATCATTTTTTAATAGAAGGAATCTAAAATCTAATTCTTTTCCTTTTTATCCCAAAACATCATTACTAGCTAACAAAATACCTACAAACATATACCTTTAATATCTTACAGGGCTTTAAAAAGAGAATTTTTGTTTCTTTCCTTTAATTGCTCACTTTTGTCATGGAAACCGCTGCCCTGCTTTGTCCATGTCCTCTAGGCCAGGAATTTCCAACAATAGTAACACCAGTGGGATAAAGTCATCTGAGAGGGACTCAGACCCAGCATCAGAATTGAAAATTCACTCTCCATCAGCCTACACCATCTTGTGACTACACAGGGAAAATACACCATCGGCTTCTCAGGCACACTCTCAAGAGTAAGGCAGTAATCTAGGAAAGCGGTTTTTTGTTTCTATTTTAAAGCCGTAACAGGAAAAAATTTTACAAAAGAGAAAATGCATTTTTATGTCTGCAAAACTTACTACAAATAATAAATAAAATAATAAAATAGGTACAAACATATAACTGTTCTTATAAGGACTATATGGCTTTTTGTCTTTGTAGTGGTGGGATTCATATTCCTAGAGTGGTAGAAGGACATGGACGGGCGAGAGTAACTGCCAGTGACTCGGTTCAGAGTCCCAGCAGCTTCCTTTTCGACCCCTGGCTTTGACCTCTGTAACGTGGTTTCTTCTTTTCTAAGACGAACCTGTAGCAGGTAAAGAGAAAACTCTTTGGTCTCTCCAGTCCTCTGACTTAAGACCTTTCTTTTGTTCCTTCTTATTAGTAAACACGCAAATTACCCTTCCTTTTGGAGAAAACAAACACTCTGTCTCAAGTGTGGATTGATCTTCACAATCATAGCACGGTCCCCAAACACCTCCTTTTCACATTCTTTTTCCTTCTGAGGACTTCCTCCATCCCTCCCAAATTTCTTCCAGGTTTAGACCTGGGGGCTCCATTTGCAAGAACTGTTGATATTTTTTAATTTTTTCTCTTCATAATCCCCTCAGCAACTGGCTTCTTTAGAAACTTCCTCACAAAGTCAAAATATATTTTAACTGAATAGAACATTTTGAATAGAACTAGTACGGGAAAGTAAGCTGGTTTTATTACCACACCCTTGGCTTTTCATTTCTTTTATTTTTCCTTTGTAAAATGAAAATGAAAAAGAAAACCTGTCAACTCAGTTGGATAGAATTTGTTGCATATTCTGGGGCTTATAAGTTATTAAAGGATGTGTATAACTTTTAAAAATGCTGTCTCACCCATTTTAAAGAGCAGATTTTCACTTATTCATTCAATAAGTATTTATTGGGTATATTAAGAACTGTCCTTGAAGCTATGAGAGACTCAGGTAAGTATAAAACTCAGCACTGCCCTCCTGCATCTGCAATCATGTGAGGTAACAATAAAAGGCAGTAGGTAATTAAACACCAACACTGTATAACAGCCCTATCATTATTTTTGGTTGATGGAAGAGGCAGGTGAAATTTGAATTGGGCCCTAAGAGATAGATAGAATTTGAAAAGTCGAAAGAATCAAAAACATTCATCATTCCAGAAAGAGAAGGTAATCCGAATATTTATATGGAGGTAAATCTGGAACATTTGGAAGGAGAGTGAGTAGACAAGTTTGGCTAGAAGTGAGTAAACAGATATACAAAACAGGGTTAAAAAGCTAGGAAGTAAGGCTAGAAGGCAGGTGTAGAAAGCCTTAACCTGGGTTTGGATTTCATCTCACAGATGATAGGATTGACTGGTTAAAATAGGAAGTTAGTCTAAAAGAAATTAGTAAGAGTAATCTAAAAGAATCTTTAAGATGACTTGAGGGCCAATCTTTCTCTCTGCCTTCAGTTTTGTTTTTCCTTCCACCATTTCCCTCCTCCACTTTCAGCCAGAGTGATCCTAAGTATAAAACAATTCTATTACGCAATTTTTAAATGGTATCATTCTCCTGCTAAAAACAGTTCAACAGCTTCGCAGTGACTTTCAGGTCAAACACATGGCCTTTAGGGTCTGGCCCTAGCTTGCCTCTCCAGACTTGTCACTTACACAACAGGCATCATTCAAACCCCTTTCCATCTGACTGAAACATCCTTCACTGTTCCCTGCTCTTTTCTCTTTTTTGTTTGGCAAACTCACAACTCATCTTGAGTCTCAGCTTAGATGTCATTTCCCCAAGGAAGGCTCTGAAAGCTTCTCAAATCCAGATTAGGCTCCCTGGCACACATCTTATTCTGTGACTGTCCTTAGGACCTGTATCCTTGTCTGTGGCATATCCTCAGTGGAGGGGTGGTTTCCTGCCAAAAGGCCAGGAACATAAGAGATGCTCACACATCTTATTCTGTGACTGTCCTTAGGACCTGTATCCTTGTCTGTGGCATATCCTCAGTGAAGGGGTGGTTTCCTGCCAAAAGGCCAGGAACATAAGAGATGCTCGAAAATATCTGTTAAATAGAAGAATGAAAAAGGCAGTTAGACTGGCCATTATCAAAAATACAGAGAATAACAAACGCTGGTGAGGATGTGGAGAAAGAGAAACCCTCCTACACTGTTGGTGAGACTATAAATTGGTGCAGCCATTACGGAAAACAGTATGCAGGTTCCTCAGACAAGTACAGATAGAACTGCTATACGATCCAGCAATCCCACTGCTCAGTATATACCCAAAGGAATGGAAATCATGATGTCGAAGGGATACCTGCACTCCCATGTTTATCGCAGCTCTACTTAAAAAAGCCAAGAGCTGGAACCAACCTAAATGTGTACTGACGGACAACTGAATAAGGAAACTGTGATACAAACAATGGAATCCTACTCTTCCATTAAAAAGAATGAGATACTGCCATTCACAGCAACATGGGTGAACATAGAGAAAATTATGTTGAGTGAAATAAGCCAGGCACAGAAAGAGAAATACCGCATGCCCTCACTCATAGGTGAGAGCTAAAAAATGAAAGAAAAGAAAGAAAAACCCAACCACCACAATAATTTGTTGAACTTTCAAAAGGAGAGAACAGACCTGAGGCCACCAGAGGTGGTAAAGTGGGGAGCAGCAAGGTTAGTGAGAAATTGGTAAAGGGCACACTAAATGACTACATGGTATAATGCTGAATATACTTATTATCCTGATTTGAACATCACATATTGCACACAGGTATCAATATTCAATGCTGTACCCCACAGATATGTATAATCAATTATGTTTCAATAAATAAATAAAATCAATCCCCATTTTGTTTAATAAATCATTTCAGTATCTGGTACTTGTAACTAACAAACAAATGAACAAAAATGAGTATTTAATACACCAGCACATTGTCTCATTGAACAAAAGTTTTTCCCATTGCCCCAGGCACTTCTACTCTAGTTTCTCCACCAGGAAGGCATGCATAGCCATTGAAGTGCTTAAATCAGTGCTGTCCAATAAAATTTTTTAAAGAAGAAAAGAAAGAAATGCAAGCCACACATGTAGTTTTAAATTTTCTAGCAGTCACATTTTTAAAAAGTAACAGAAACAGATGAAATTAATTTTAACATTGTTTTATTTAAACAAGTATATCCAAACTATTATTACTTCAACATGTAATCAATACGAAAGAATACTGAGATATTTCACTTGTTTTATAGTCTATGTCTTTGAAACATGGCATGTATTTTACACTTACAGCACATCTCAATTCTGATGATAAATTTTCAAAGGTTAAAGTAAAATGTAGTCCTTCCCAAAGTTGTGTATAAAGGAAAATATCTTACACTGTTACTTTTTAAATTTAAACTAAAATTAAATATTCAGTTCCTCAGTTGCTCTAGCCACATTTTAAGTGCTCAGTAGCTACACATGACTAGTGCCTACTGTATCGGGCAGCTTAGCCTTAAATTTACTATAGAAGAGATTCACGGGACCTTTTCTTGATGAATCCAGTAGTTGGCAGGAATTGGAGGCTTTCACCCTTCCAACAAATTCCATTATGAAAGGATTCAGAATTGTGTGAAGACCTATTAAAAATATTTATTCCCCCAAAATAATGTTTCCTTGGCTGTGTAACTACAACAGATTAACACATTATGTTAATGTGAGATCTATCCTCTGTGTTCTACAATTCAGTAGCATAAAGAGATGGAGGAGTTATCTATCTTCCCTGTCAGCGAGTTTTCAAAGTTAAAATTGCACTATTACTCTTAAACCATTTCTCATTTAAAAGGCAACTCTTACACACTGTTGATGAGAATGTAAATTAGTATAGCCATTATGGAAAACTGTATGGAGGTTTCTCAAAAAACTAGAAACAGAACTACCATATTATCCAGCAATCTCACTGCTGGGTATTTATCCAAAGGAATGGAAATTAGCATACATGAGATATCTGCACCCCCATGTTTACTGTAGCACTATTCACAATAGCCAAGACATGGAATCAACCTAGGGGTCCATCAACAGATGAATGGATAAAGAAAATGTGGTATAGATACACAATGAAATGCCACTCAGCCATAAAAAAAGAATGAGATCCTGTCATTTGGGGCAACACGTATGAGCCTGGAAGACATTGTGTTAAGTGTAATTAAGTCAGGCACAGCAATACAAATACTGCGTGTCCTCACTCATCTGTGGGAGCTAAAAAATATATATATGTTAAACTTTTAGAAGTAGAGAGTAGAATTGTGGTTAGTAACCACTGAGGCAAGAAAGGGAGGGGGGAAGAGGAGGATAGGGAGAGGTTTGTTAATGGACATAAAATTACAGCTAGATAGGAAAAATAACTTCTAGTGGTGTACAGGACTGCTAGGCATTTATAATTACCAATAATTTATTGTTATGTTCTCATATGGCTAGAAGAGATCAAATGTTCTCATCACAAAGAAATGATAAAGTTTTGTGATAATGAATACCTAATTCCCTGATTTGATCATCACACATTGTATATATGTACTGAAATAGAACCCTGTACCCCATAAATATGTATAATCATTACATTTCAGTTAAAAAAACAAATCCCTTTTAAAAATTTTTAAAAAGTCATTTCTCATTTATTATATTTTGAGGGATCGGAAGAGACTCCAGGGATTAGTTTTAATTATAAGTATTTTCATCATCACGTAAAAAATATACAGTTTTGTGTGGCAGGCTGAAGAATTTGACCTTTACTCCTCAGATAGTAACAGCTATGCTAAATTTTGGAAAAAGGGAGTGACACAATATCATCAGTGTTTCAGGAATACAAAACGGGTCCACAGAAAGGTGTAGAGCTTCTAGAATCCTTAGATGGTGTACATATGCTCTTATTTCTGCCAGCAATGTTGTTTTCCTCTTCTTAAGCTAACAAGACATGTGCTCATCCTTCAATATCTAGTTCAGTCACCTCTTAGTTTCCTGGATAGATGGCAGATGGAGTCACTTCTGCATCTCTGCTCTCGCAGCACTTCTTTCAAAATCCTGAACAAAAGTTAAATTCAGAGGCAGAAAGTAGAATAGTGGTTTCCAGTGGCTGAGGAATTATTATTTAATGGGTACAGAATTTTAGTTTTGCAAGAAGAGTTCTCTGGATGGATGATGGTGATGGTAACATAACAATGTGAATAATTGGATTACCTTTCCCCAGACTAACTCCTCTCCTTTCAGGTCTCAGCTTAAATACCACACTTTCGGGAAATTCTGTCTCTTTTCCAGGCCAGAACGGTTAGGTACCTTTGCCTTTCAGGTCTCAGCTTAAATACCACACTTTCGGGAAATTCTGTCTCTTTTCCAGGCCAGAATGGTTAGGTACCTTTGCTATATATACCCTCTCATGAACCTTGCACTTTTCTTACAGGGCTCTCATCACAACTGTAATCTACAGTTAATTATGTGATGCATTAGTTTTGTTTAGTATAACAAAATACTACAGACTAGGTGGCTTATATTTCTTACAGTTTTGGAGGCTAGAAGACTAAAATCAAGGCGCTGGCAGGTGTGGTTTCTCCTGAGGCCTCTCTTCTTGGCTTGCAGATGGCCTTTCCTTTATGCATGCACAACCCCTGGTGTCTGTGTCTAAATTTCCTCTTAGGACACTAGTCAGATTGGATTGGTGCCCACCCTAAGGGCCTCGTTTTCACTAATCACCTCTTCAAAGGCCCTGTCTCTAAACAGAGTCACATTCCAAGGTACTGGTGTTTAGGACTTCAACATATGACTCTGGAAGGGCAAGGCAGGGGACACAATTCAGCCTTAATCTCTATTGCTCCAACTTGGTAAACTCTGTGATGACAGGAACTTTGTCTTGTTCTCATTTGGGGATCTTTACAGTTGCTATTCCCTCTTCTTAGTACCTCCAACGCTTCATACAACTCTTCAACTTTCAAGTCTTAGCACTATCATCTGACAAGGGCCTTATCTAAAGTAACTCTAAAAGTCACTTTCACATCACCAGTTTCTTTCTTCCATGGATCTCCACACTTACTTATGTCCAGAAGGTTAGCTTCATGAAAGGGAGATCACGTGTTTTTATGCATTATTATACTCCAGAGTGTCTCCCACATAGTTATGAGTAAATCAGTTTCCATAACCACTTAGCATATTATAATGACTTTATTTACTCCACTGAGAATATCTGCAGGGCAGGACCAAAAAACTTTTTGAATTTCAGCTCTAACACTAGTTGTGTGAACTCCAGGAAGTCCCTTTCCCTCTGTGGGCCTCAGGTTCTCTAACTATATAATGACAATACCTTCTTCAGGGTTTTTATGTGGATTAGATAATAAATGTAAGGTACTCAGCTCAAGAATTTGACATATAGTACATGCTATTAGCTGAAATGCTATTAGGCTGGATGTTTTCCAAAGAATGGGACCTGTGAATGGTGTGAAAAACATCTTTAAGTGGTACATAGAGCATTAAACAATAGAGTATTAATGCTACCCTCTTTTCAATGTTTTTTTCAATTCTTCAGATTAAAACAAGGTTCTTAACAAGTACATATGTCCTTGACACTCACCCCTGTCTCTACCTCTTGCTATTTCTTTTTAGTCTTCCTATTTGACAGAGGGATCATTTAGGCACAAAGGCACACAAAACAGTTCATAGGTGCATTTAACACTGTTTTCCACTGTACTTGCAGCATAGTGTTTACAGGCCATTCTGAAGCCAGACTGCCTGGATTTACACCAGGGCTAGTACAAAGACACCACCCTCTCCTGGGATTACTGTGGATTTAAAACGAACTACTGCAGGTAAAGCGAGCTGGAACACAGGAAGCCTGCCACTCGTGTTAAAAACATGTTAATAAACACACCGCCCAGGTGAAGGCAGGTCTGGCCACAATCCCGAATGCCTTGCTGGGACGGCTGAGTCTGGAGGTCCCCGCAGGAAGGGGGTCCCTGAGGCGGACACTCCCGCCGCGGGGCCTCGCAGGGGGCCAGGCCGAGGTCCCAGGGAAGGCGGCCCAGAGCTCGCAGCGGCCAGGCTCTCGGGCGTCCCCGGATTTCGGCCTCCTTGGGGTCTTCCCGCGGCAGTAAGCCGCTCTCACTCCCGCGCCTGCCACCCGCACCCTTACCGGGAGCTCCTCCATGCGCCGAGCGCTCCCCGAGATGACGCGGGAAGAGCCCGGGAGGCGCCGGGGCGCGAGACACAGGGGCGGAGCTGCGGCGCGGTCGGCGGCGTGACGTAGATGACGCAGCTACGCACGCGGCTGCACGCATGCGCGACGGGGCCCGTGGCTGGAGATCGGCGCCCGGCTAGAGTCAACATGGCAGCCGAGCGGAAGACCAAGTTGTCCAAGAACCTGCTCCGCATGAAGGTGCGGGGACGCTGGGGGAGCCAGGACGGGCAGTAGGGGAACCCGGTCCTCCCAACTTGGCGGGGGCTTAGGCGGTGGGCGTCCCGAGGGCACCAGAGAGGCCCCGGAGGGCCTCCAGGTCTCGCGTTCATTCGTTCGTTTAGCGTCTCCTCAGCGTTAGGCTTTAGAAACCAGGTTATGAATTAGGCAGACTCTGTCATGAAGCCTGCGGTCGGATAGGAGCTTGCATGCACGTGTGCAGACAGTAAGGAGGCAGCGTACTAAGTGATGGGAGAAGCGCCGGGAGCCCTGGGAGTGTACTGGGCTTTTTGGGGGAAGTGGTCTTTAAGTGGAGACTGAAGGGTAAGTGGGAGGGTGGGAGGCATGGCGTCCTAAACTGAGGGAAAAGCGAATTCAAAAGTCTGAGAGGCAAGAAAGAAAGGAAAGAAGAACGTGGAGATTTCCAGTAACTAAAAATAACTCAGTATGTCCAGAAGACAAGTCGCAAGAAATGGGGCTGGAAAAGTTGGCAGTGGTCACAACATGCACGGAATTTTCGGCCAGATTCAGAAATTTTTCCTGTATTTTAGGAGCAATGGGAAACTGTTGAGGACGGGAAACAGTATCATTAGCTGTGTTACTTTAACAGTTACTTTAACTGTCCTGTGGAGAATACGTGGGTGGAAGAAAGGCTGTACAAGGGACAAAACTGCAGTCAGAAAGACCAGCTAGAAGTTCTGATGATCTGGGTGAGGGTTGCAATGGTGGTGGAATGGAAAAAAGTGTAATAGTTGAGGTGAAAGTGAGTTATACCACCCAATTCAAGGCAAAATTAATTTTTACATTTGAAAGTGAACTAAATCCTATAATTTCAAAATAGGAGGGGGGGGGGAGGGTAAGATGAAATGAACACAGGAATTAAGATGGGAACAACCGAACTTTAAAACTTAATGTGTAATAGCAAACATTTAAACATTTATAGTCCTTGCTATGTGTCAGACACTGTTCTAAGTGCTTTGCATATATTAATTCCATGTAATTCATGTAATAACTCTTTGAGGTGGCTACAGTTTCCTCTTTTACAGCTGAGGAAACTGAAACAGAGTAGTAGGTAACTTGCCCAAAGCTACACAACTAATAAGTAGTGTAGACAGGACTGAAACTCATGCAGTTTGTCTCCAGAGCCCCTGTTCTTAATTACTGATTTGTACTGCCTTTCACTGAACGCTACTTATAGAGAGATGGAAACTGTTAAATGTCATGTTCAGAGAGTTGTGGAATTTCCAATAAAAGGAAGTAAGGTGTAAGTAATGTCTGAAAGATTGGAGAGTAAATACTGCATATGCAAGATTTGAGTGGAGTTGAGGTAAGATGTCACTATGGACGAATATAGTGAATGAGAGTGGAGGGCAGATTGCAGTGTAATTTATAGTTTGTAAGGTTCTTCTTTCATGCATATTAGCAAAATTTGATTGTTTACCAAGCAGAGTTTGCTTTGGGTTTAATGGTTTGTAATCAGTTGATTTCAGAGAAGTGGAGTGGATTGACCAAACAGGCTTAGAAAGAGTCTAGCAGTTGTATTAGCTCTTGGAATAAGCCAAATGAAGATGTGCTGGGTGATTTGCGCTCAGACTCTGGAGTTAAGAAATAAATCAACTTAAAACAATTCTCGACCCCCACCCAAGTGGTTGGGGAAGGCTGAAATGAACATTGAAAGCAAAGGAGAAGGAAGAAAATTACCTAGGTTCTTATCTATTTGGGTTAGCAGCTTTTGATAAAAAAGAACTTACTGGTAGGATAGCAGGAGACACTATACAAAAAGTTCATGGAAAATAGAAATAAAAGATGATACGAATCTTCCCATGAACTTTCTGATAGCCCCTCATATATACAGATAGAGTGGAGTGTACTGTGAGAAGGCGTGGAGCAGTTGCACTGAGGGTGTATGGCCAGCACAGCCATTGAGCCGGAGCTTGGTATAGGGCACGTTGAGAGGGTTGGGGATTTAATCCTGACTCACTTGTTTTCAGTGTTCTTGACCTCCTCTGACAGCTGTTAGAGGGTGGAGATGATCCTGAGAAGTAGGATGTGGGGGAAGGTGTGCTGGTATGATGGAGTGGTTGGAAAGAGGGTGCTTATTTGTGATTTTAGCTCTTTTGGACTCCTAGGAGAGAGCTCGGTGAACTTTTTTTCTGTAAAGGTCCAGATAGCCCTTTTTAGGCTTGCCGGCCAGACAGTCTCTGTGGCAACTACTCACCTCTGTCATTGTTGCTAAAACAGCATGAGCATGGCTGTGTTCCAGTAAAACTTTACTGACAATGGCAGACATCCAGCCTGAGTTTGCCGATGCATGGTGTGGGCCCTCAATTGTGAGGGAGGCTAAATCACTAGATTTCCAGTACGTTCTGAGGTGTAGAGTCCGTAATAACTTCGTATAGCATACATTATACGAAGTTATACGAACGAATCTTCCCATGAACTTTCTGATAGCCCCTCATATATACAGATAGAGTGGAGTGTACTGTGAGAAGGCGTGGAGCAGTTGCACTGAGGGTGTATGGCCAGCACAGCCATTGAGCCGGAGCTTGGTATAGGGCACGTTGAGAGGGTTGGGGATTTAATCCTGACTCACTTGTTTTCAGTGTTCTTGACCTCCTCTGACAGCTGTTAGAGGGTGGAGATGATCCTGATGAGAAGTAGGATGTGGGGGAAGGTGTGCTGGTATGATGGAATGGTTGGAAAGAGGGTGCTTATTTGTGATTTTAGCTCTTTTGGACTCCTAGGAGAGAGCTCGGTGAACTTTTTTTCTGTAAAGGTCCAGATAGCCCTTTTTAGGCTTGCCGGCCAGACAGTCTCTGTGGCAACTACTCACCTCTGTCATTGTTGCTAAAACAGCATGAGCATGGCTGTGTTCCAGTAAAACTTTACTGACAATGGCAGACATCCAGCCTGAGTTTGCCGATGCATGGTGTGGGCCCTCAATTGTGAGGGAGGCTAAATCACTAGATTTCCAGTACGTTCTGAGGTGTAGAGTCAGAAGAATTTTGTTATGTCAAGGATGTTACATAAGTAAAATCATGTAACATGTAACCTTTTGAGATTTGCTTTTTTCACTCAGCATAATTCTTTTCAGATTTAAGATGTCGAATGTGTCGGTAATTCCTTCCTTTTTATTGCTAAGTAGTTCCATGCTGTGGATGTACCACAGTTGATTTTAACCATTCACGTATGGAAAATGTTTTGGTTGTTTTCAGTTTGGGCTTTTACAAATAGAGCTGCTATGAATATTCAAGTACAAGTTTTTGAGTGAACATAAGTTGTCATCTCTCTGGGATAAGTGCCCAAGAGGACAATTGCTGGATCAGATGGTAAGTGCACGTTTAGCTTGGAGAAAAGCTGCTGAGCTGTTTTCCACAGCGTCTGGAACATTTTGCTTTCCCACCCGCTCTGTATGAGTGATCCAGTTTCCTCACATCCTCATCAGTACTTGTTGTTATCCCTGTATTTCCTTGTGAACGTTTATTCACGTTTTGTCATTTCATTTAGTAGTCATTGGTAAATCGCTTATGCCTAAAAAGGCTTGTGTTTCTTTTTGGAAGAGCTTAAATGGAGGAAGAAGTGTGGGGCCTGTATAAGGGAACGAAATGGGGATACACAGAAACAAATGGAACCCTAACTGCTAGGAGGCTCCTAGGTGTTTTCTGGTTTTATTTTCTCTGGTATTGATACTTTATCATTTTGCTGTGGTTAGTCTCGTGGCTTGTTCACCCATCCCCTGAGGAAATATAGCTACCATTTGTGCTAAGGAAAGACTAGCAGCAAGACTGCTGTTTTCTTTACTGGCATATTTTGAGCCAAGCTTCTGCAGATTTGAGAATAAAGAGCAGCCAAAGAATTCACTAGCATTTCAGAGGCTAGATATAAGAGAAGAGCAGTCTTACAGATGCAGCTTTGCTTCTGTCTACATTGAGCTCTTACTGTGCATCTGCCATCGTACTGGGACTGTTAAAGGAGATGACCCCAACACAGTCTCAGAAAGTTTAGATGTGGTGAGCCTGTTGGAGGGGGCGATAGGAGCATCCAAGAAGGAAGCGCTGGTTTTAGTTGCAGCTATCAGGCATGGCTTCACAGACATGGAACAGCTTTACCTGTGTCAGAAGGGCTGGGAGTTGGACAGGTGAAAAAAGGTGAGAAGGTTGTTACGAACCAAGATCAGTAGGTGCAAAGGCTAGTGGGCTGGGGGTAAGCAGCAGACTGAGAAAATACCGAGTCTCTCAATCCTCTTTCTCCTTCTGATCTCACTTTCTGTCTCTACCTGCCTGTCCTACTGTCTGCTTTTCTTTCTCTCTGGATCAATCTTTTATCTTAGCTCTTCTTCACAAGCCGTTATGTAAAGTTACAATATCTAATGTGGTGCTTACGGAGTGCAGGTTTTTTTAAGTTTCCCAAAGGAAGTACACATAGCACTTTGTTGTGTGCTCTGGCACAGTCCCTTCTGTTCCAGAGTGAAGCTGCAAGGGTAGAGCTGAACTGTTAATCACACCCCCCACTCCCCCTATATGAGAAATCCCTGGAAGGATGAGGGAGAGTGAATGGCAGAGGAAAGTCATCTGAGTTTTGCTCAACTCTAAGATGGGAACATTAGTTGCTGACACCGGTTTCGTTTTGTTTTGACAGTTCATGCAAAGGGGACTGGACTCGGAAACCAAGAAACAACTAGAAGAGGAAGAAAAGAAAATTATTAGTGATGAGCACTGGTACTTGGATTTGCCAGAGCTTAAAGAGAAAGAGTAGGTTTATTAGAATTTATATTGCATCATTCCAGTGACCTAAAGCCCATAAAATGGTTTATGTTCA